GAGTTGTAAAATAAGTAAATACTAGGGTGTTCGGGAGAGGTGTGGGATTAAATTATGGGGAATCAAATACAAAATGCGAGTTGACACAGTTACTTTTTGCTGATGATACTGTACTTTCGAGAGATTCTAAAGAAAAGTTGCAAAGGTTAGTGGACGACTTTGGGAGGGTGTGTAAAGGTAGAAATTTGAAAGTGAGCATAGATAAGAGTAAGGTGATGAGATTATCAAACAATTTAGATAAAAAAAATTGGATATCACACTGGAGGGAGAGAGTATGGAAGAAGTGAATGTGTTCAGATAATAGAGAGTTGACTTGTCAGTGGACGGGTTTATGAAGGATGAGGTTAACCATAGAACTGATGAAGGAAAAAAGGTGAGTGGTGCACTGAGGTATCTGTGGAGACAAAAAAATATGTTATCCATGGAGGCAAAGAAGGGAATGTACAAAAGTGTAGTGGTACCAATGCTCCTATATGGGTGTGAAGTACGAGTTGTAAATGCTGCAGCGAGAAGGCGGCTGGAGGCAGCAGAGGTGTCGTGTATAATGACAATGTGTGGTGTAAATGTTATGCAGAGAATTTGTATTGTGGAAATTAGGTGTGGAGCTACTAAAAGTATTAGAGGGCTGAAGAGAGGTTGTTGAAGTGGTTTGGTCATTAAGAGAGAATGGAACAATGTAAAATGGCTTAGAGAGCATATAAATCTGTAGGGGAAGGAAGACAGGGAAGGGGTTGTCCTTGAAAAGGCTGGAGGGAGGGGGTAAAAGAGGTTTTTGTGGGTGAGGGGCCTGGACTTCCAGCAAGCGTGCGTGGGCATGTTATTATTATTATTATTATTATTAACACACTGGCCGATTCCCACCAAGGCAGGGTGGCCCGAAAAAGAAAAACTTTCACCATCATTCACTCCATCACTGTCTTGCCAGAAGGGTGCTTTACACTACAGTTTTTAAACTGCAACATTAACACCCCTCCTTCAGAGTACAGGCATTGTACTTCCCTTCTCCAGGACTCAAGTCCGGCCTGCCGGTTTCCCTGAATCCCTAAATAAATGTTACTTTGCTCACACTCCAACAGCACGTCAAGTATTAAAAACCATTTGTCTCCATTCACTCCTATCAAACACGCTCACGCATGTCTGCTGCCCCTCACACACAAAACCTCCTTTACCCCCTCCCTCCAACCTTTCCTAGGCCGACCCCTACCCTGCCTTCCTTCCACTACAGACTAATACACTCTTGAAGTCATTCTGTTTAACTCCATTCTCTCTACATGTCCGAACCACCTCAACAACCCTTCCTCAGCCCTCTGGACAACAGTTTTGGTAATCCCGCACCTCCTCCTAACTTCCAAACTACAAATTCTCTGCATTATATTCACACCACACATTGCCCTCAGACATGACATCTCCACTGCCTCCAGCCTTCTCCTCGCTGCAACATTCATCACCCATGCTACACACCCATATAAGAGCGTTGGTAAAACTATACTCTCATACATTCCCCTCTTTGCCTCCAAGGACAAAGTTCTTAGTCTCCACAGACTCCTAAGTGCACCACTCACCCTTTTCCCCTCATCAATTCTATGATTCACCTCATCTTTCATAGACCCATCCGCTGACACGTCCACTCCCAAATATCTGAATACATTCACCTCCTCCATACTCTCTCCCTCCAATCTGATATCCAATCTTTCATCACCTAATCTTTTTGTTATCCTCATAACCTTACTCTTTCCTGTATTCACTTTTAATTTTCTTCTTTTGCATACCCTACAAAATTCATCCACCAACCTCTGCAAGTTCTCTTCAGAATCTCCCAAAAGCACAGTGTCATCAGCAAAGAGCAACTGTGACAACTCCCACTTTATGTGTGATTCTTCATCTTTTAACTCCACGCCTCTTGCCAAGACCCTCGCATTTACTTCTCTTACAACCCCATCTATAAATACATTAAACAACCACGGTGACATCACACATCCTCGACTAAGGCCTACTTTTACTGAGAAATAATCTCCCTCTTTCCTACATACTCTAACTTGAGCCTCATTATCCTCGTAAAAACTCTTCACTGCTTTCAGTAACCTACCTCCTACACCATACACCTGCAACATCTGCCACATTGCCCCCCTATCCACCCTGTCATACGCCTTTTCCAAATCCATTAATGCCACAAAAACCTGTTTTGCCTTATCTAAATACTGTTCACTTATATGTTTCACTGTAAACACCTGGTCCACACACCCCCTACCTTTCCTAAAGCCTCCTTGTTCATCTGCTATCCTATTCTCCGTCTTACTCTTAATTCTTTCAATAATAACTCTACCATACACTTTACCAGGTATACTCAACAGACTTATCCCCCTATAATTTTTGCACTCTCTTTCGTCTCCTTTGCCTTTATACAAAGGAACTATACATGCTCTCTGCCAATCCCTAGGTACCTTACCCTCTTCCATACATTTATTAAATAATTGCACCAACCACTCCAAAAACTATATCCCCACCTGCTTTTAACGTTTCTATCTTTATCCCATCAATCCCGGCTGCCTTACCCCCTTTCATTTTACCTACTGCCTCACGAACTTCCCCCACACTCACAACTGGCTCTTCCTCACTCCTACAAGATGTTATTCCTCCTTGCCCTATATACGAAATCACAGCTTCCCTATCTTCATCAACATTCAACAATTTCTCAAAATATTCCTTCCATCTTCCCAATATCTCTAACTCTCCATTTAATAACTCTCCTCTCCTATTTTTAACTGACAAATCCATTTGTTCTCTAGGCTTCCTTAACTTGTTAATCTCACTCCAAAACTTTTTCTTATTTTCAACAAAATTTGTTGATAACATCTCACCCACTCTCTCATTTGCTCTCTTTTTACATTGCTTCACCACTCTCTTAACCTCTCTCTTTTTCTCCATATACTCTTCCCTCCTTGCATCACTTCTACTTTGTAAAAACTTCTCATATGCTAACTTTTGCTCCCTTACTACTCTCTTTACATCATCATTCCACCAATCGCTCCTCTTCCCTCCTGCACCCACTTCCCTGTAACCACAAACTTCTGCTGAACACTCTAACATTACATTTTTAAACCTACCCCATACCTCTTCAACCCCATTGCCTATGCTCTCATTAGCCCATCTATCCTCCAATAGTTGTTTATATCTTACCCTAACTGCCTCCTCTTTTAGTTTATAAACCTTCACCTCTCTCTTCCCTGATGCTTCTATTCTCCTTGTATCCCATCTACCTTTTACTCTCAGTGTAGCTACAACTAAAAAGTGATCTGATATATCTGTGACCTCTCAACTCAATAAACATGTACATCCTGAAGTCTACTAAACAGTCTTTTATCTACCAATACATAATCCAACAAACTACTGCCATTTTGCCCTACATCATATCTTGTATACTTATTTATCCTCTTTTTCTTAAAATATGTATTACCTATAACTAAACCCCTTTCTATACAAAGTTCAATCAAAGGGCTCCCATTATCATTTACACCTGGCACCCCAAACTTACCTACCACACCCTCTCTAAAAGTTTCTCCTACTTTAGCATTCAGGTCCCCTACCACAATTACTCTCTCACTTGGTTCAAAGGTTCCTATACATTCACTTAACATCTCCCAAAATCTCTCTCTCTCCTCTACATTCCTCTCTTCTCCAGGTGCATACACGCTTATTATGACCCACTTTTCGCATCCAACCTTTACTTTAATCCTCATAATCCTTGAATTTACACATTCATATTTTCTTTTCTCCTTCCATAACTGATCCTTCAACATTACTGCTACCCCTTCTTTAGCTCTAACTCTCTCAGATACTCCAGATTTAATCCCATTAATTTCCCCCCACCAAAACTCCCCTACCCCCTTCAGCTTTGTTTTGCTTAGGGCCAGGACATCCAACTTCTTTTCATTCATAACATCAGCAATCATCTGTTTCTTGTCATCCGCACTACATCCACGCACATTCAAGCATCCCAGTTTTATAAAGTTTTTTTTCTTCTCTTTTTTAGTAAATGTCTACAGGAGAAGGGGTTACTAGCCCATCGCTCCCGGCATTTTAGTCGCCTCATACGACACGCATGGCTTACAGAGGAAAGATTCTTTTCCACTTCCCTGTGGACAATAGAAGAAATAAAGAGGAACAAGAGCTATTTAGAAAAAGGAGAAAAACCTAGATGTATTTTTTTTTTTCAACAAGTCGGCCGTCTCCCACCGAGGCAGGGTGACCCAAAAAAGGAAGAAAATCCCCAAAAAGAAAATACTTTCATCATCATTCAACACTTTCACCACACTCACACATTATCACTGTTTTCGCATATATATATATATATGCATGTGCGTGTCTGTGAAGTGTGACCAAGGTGTAAGTAGGAGTAGCAAGATATCCCTGTTATCTAGCGTGTTTATGAGACAGAAAAAGACACCAGCAATCCTACCATCATGCAAAACAGTTACAGGTCTCTGTTTCACATTCATCTGGCAGGACGGTAGTGTACTTCCCTAGGTGGTTGCTGTCTACCAACCTACTACCTATGTGATATTAAATCTTAAAATATTCTGGGATTTCAAGTAATATTGAATTAAGTTTTCTAACTGCATGCTGACGCTGTAGTGTCAGCATGCTTCTGGTAAGACAGTAATGGAGTGAGTGATAATGAAAGCGTTTCTTCTTTTTCAGGTCACTCTACCTCGGTGGGAAACGGCCGATGTGTTAATAAAAAAAAATTAAGATACAGTAACTACATTAGTAATTACATTTCTTAACACATCAGTTGTCTCCCACTGAGGCAAGGTGACCCAAAGAAGAAACGACAGTTTTTTGTCTTTCTGCATTTGGTAATTCATACAGACGGATTACTAGCCCCTTGCTCCCAGCATCTTAGTCACCAATTACAACATGCATGGCTTATGAAGGAAGGAGTCTTCTCCACTTCCCCATGGAATAGTAATTACACATACTCTTATAACTTTTATATTTACCAAGTTTGCAAGTCCAATGGCAATATTGCACACAGCAGCACAGGTGGGTTGTGCAGAGTAGAACGTTGTTGGATTTGTAGGATGGTGAGTGTTTAGGTGAAGCAGTAACTGTGATGCTAGAGCAGTCATGGTGGACACTCCCCAGTTAGCCCAGAGTGCTGCACGTAGTGCCCACGCCCCATGTTGTAGTGACACCAAGCTGTGCTGACAGTTAAGTGCCTCTGCCCGTACTATACTCTGTAAGAAAACTCTTATTACAAAAAAAAGAAAAAGGGGTAAAGAGCTATTAAGGAGATGAATACAGTGAACCCTCGGTTATAGGCCATTCCGGTTATCAGCCACTTCAGATTTAGGCCAGTTTTTTGGCCAAAATTCTATCCTGGATTTCAGCCGGCAACTTGGAAATCAGCCATATTGGATGCATCCACTCACCTCTCTGCACATTCACGAGTCATATCTGGGTGAGTGAGCAAGGCTCCATGCATTTATCCAAACATTCCGTTATATTCCATTGTTTTTGTGATTATTTATTGAGTGCAACTGCAAAATAAGCCACCATGGGCCCAAAGAAAGTTCCTAGTGCCAGCCCTTTGGTAAAGAAAATGAGAAACACGATAGAATTCAAGAAAGAAATTATAGACAAATACAAGAGTGGTGTACGTGTCTTGGAGCTTGCTAGGATGTATGGGAAATCCAAATCAAAACTCACTTCCATCCTGGCGAAGAAAAAAGAAATCAAGGAAGCTAATGTTGCGAAAGGGGTAGATATGATAAAGAAACAAAGATCACCAATAATCGAAGATGTGGAGAAGTTATTGTTGGTGTGAATCAATGATAAACAATTAGTGGAAGATAGTGTTGTGGAGTCGATCATTTGTGAAGAGGCAAGGCAGTTGCATGCGGATCTTGTGAATAAAATACCTGGGATGAGTGCTGCTGTTAGTGAATATAAAGTCAGCAAAGGCTGGTTTGAGAGATTTATGAAGCATAGTGGCATACACAGTGTGGTAACGCATGGCGAGGCTGCAAGTTCGGACAAACGTGCGGCTGAATAATTCATGCATGAATTCAAGGAGTACGTAGAAGCTAAAGGATTCGTCCCCCAACAAGTATTCAATTGTGACGAAATAGGCCTCTTTTGGAAGAAAATGCCAAAGAGAACCTACATCACGAAGGAGGAAAAGGCACTGCCAGGACACAAGCTTATGAAGGATAGGCTTACTCTTTTGTTCTGTGGTAATGCTAGTGGAGATATCAAAGTGAAGCCTTTACTGGTGTATCACTCTGAAAATCCTAGTGTGTTCAAGAAAAACAGTGTCATCAAGAGTAAATTGTGTGTGATGTGCAAAACTAATAATAAGGCATGGGTCATGAGGCAAATTTTCATTTACTGGGTCCATTAAGTGTTTAGCCCCAGTGTGAAAAAGTACCTCCAGGAAAATAAATTGCCACTCAAGTGCCTCTTGGTAATGGACAATGCTCCTGCTTATTACAATAAATTTTATAAACCATAGGTGATGTTAGTCTAGGGGAGTTTTTATGGAGAATTATTCTCCAGTTATATCGTAATAAGGTTATAAGGAGATCGAAAAAACTTTGTAAAATGCATCTTTAATATAAAGTAGATATCGTTATAGACTTAATGTATTTAGTTGTACCTTTTGGTTAATTATATATAAACAGACTTTATACACCACTTATAAATTAAGAAGACCTTCATTCTTAGCTGAATGGACCTTTAATATACAGTTGAACAAAAGTTACATCATCCTCCATTTTCTAAGGAGATTAGGCTGTTGACTTAGAAAACTTCAAGTCTCTACACACGAGAACTTTTATATAATGTAAATTCCACAATTTCTGGTGACTTTAGCGAATAAAGCTCTAGAACAAATGCTTCACTGTTTAAGTTAAAAGGAATAAGCCGTGGAGACCTTCTCTATACCGAGAGAGGTGCTGTACTGCCTGCTCTACTCCTCTCACCTCTGATGTAAGCTCGCGTCAGGCGAGTAGTAACCAGAGGTGAGGTCATAAATGGTTGTTATCATTGGTAAATGATGCATCAGTGCAAAATACATATATATATATACATAAAATGAAAAATGAGAAAGATGAAAATGATATGTAATATTATAAAGCTGATTTTCATCGTTTTAGCTAATAACGACGATAATCGCAAAGTAATATTAGATGGATGAACAAAATTTAAGACATATATAGAGAAATTGCATGTCAGCGTAACACTGCTCATCCTCCAAACTTGGTATGCCAATTGTTGGAGGAGTTTAATTTCATCACAGTGAAGTTCTTGCCTCCTAACACCACTCTTCTCATCCAGCCCATGGACCAGCAGGTCATCTCTAGCTTCAAAAAACTCTACATGAAAGCAATGTTTCAAAGGTGTTCTGAAGAGACCTCGGACACTGACTTGACCCTGACTTGATTCTGGAGGAATCACTTCCCTTCATTTCCTAAGCCTTTGTGAAACCATTGGTTTGAGGATGTTCCAAATGGCGCTTGGATTGTGGTGCCAGAATGTGCCAAGAGTTAAGTGGGTGGAAAGGGGAAGGCTACCCTGGACTCTGACCCCTTCATCCTGCCTAGAAATACCATCTGTTTTGAGGATCCTTGGGGTTAGGAGGAGGGAGAGATGTGGAAGAGTTGTTGGAGGAAATAAGGAATGTAATGCAAATGAAGAGCTTGCAAAAATTTCTGGAACAAACAGACCACGCTGAGGAAGCTCAAAGAAAGCTGAGATTGCCTTTTCCATGATAAGATTGTCAGTAGTCAGGCAAATCTTAAAAAACACACCAGAAACAGCTGTTTTGGCAACATTTTTCATGTGAAAAGTGGTCCATGCTTCAAGCAATCCTTAATGCCCCGAAAAGAGCGAAGAAGGAAGAGTAACCCCCAGAGAAAAAGGGAAGGGATACCTGAAGGGTCTTATGGAGAGGGGATTCCCCTTCCAAACAAGAAACTCTCCTCCCTCTCCCCTCCTCGCCTTCTTCCATATGCCAACAAGTGTCTTCAATAAAGGTATGTAATGTTCATTTATTAGTAAAATTAGTGCTTTATATTTCTTACTCACTGTTTTGTGTATGTAAAACTACAGTTAATATTTAAAAAAATGTATTTTTGTTAATATTTTTGGGTGTCTGGAACAGATTAATTGTATTTACATTAATTCTTATAGGAAATATTATTTCGGTTTTCGGCCTTTATGAATTTAGGCCGACCTTCTGAAATGGATTACGGCCTATAACCGAGGGTCCAAAATGCAGTAATGGAAGTCTAAGAAATATATGGATTATTATGATTGAAAAAACTCAGCTTTCAACACCAGAGAAAGATGAGTAGCCTTCTGTTATATACAGGTCCAATGTTCTCGAGGTCCTCAACCAGTAGAAACCTGCAAAACAACTATTCTACAACATGGGTGGCCATCAACTGTTTCATGCTACCTGTAAGCTTAAAAAAATAAACTATAAGCAATCATTCATCAACTTCAACTTGGAACTGCTTAACCCTTTGACTGTAGCAACCCCCAATCCTGAGGTGTCTCCTGGTGTCGCAAAATTTAAAAAAAAAAAAAATTATTTTTTTCTTATGAAATGATAATCTTTTCCCGATTGTAATGACACCAAAAAAACGAAATTTGATGGAAAACTGACCGAATTATGCTCTCGCGAAGTTAGCGACCTCGGTGCTGTTTACAAATCGGCGATTTCGCCCACTTTGAGCCTTATTTTCGGCTAATTCCATTGTTCCAGTCGCCCAAACTCATAGCTATTTCTTTAGAACTCCATTTTTTCTATCGATTGAGTACAAGAAACTGCCCATTTACCGATTTCAACTACCTAATAATGTGGTCAGAAATTTACAATTTGGGCAATTTCACAAAAACTAAAAAATATGACAATTTCAAAATAAGGTCCAGAATGAACAATGCAGACATTCCTGGCTCTAAAATAACATTTTTCTTTGCTCATCAGTCATGTCTCCAGGCCCCTCTGATATTACTTTTGCTTTCTATTTTGAATTTTTATTCAAACAAAAAATAGAAGACTTACTATTATGCAGACTACTGCAATACTGTAATAATTGTATAAATAACATCAACCCATTCATGACTGCATATTAGAATGGCTAGTTGGACATTTATTGGACAATGGCATCATTTGTTTACTTTTGAACATTGGCAAAAATCAAACATTTCCCCTACTTTGAGCTCCATTTCTAGGTTCTTTTTATAGTAAAATCAATCAAAATCACCTCTATTTCTATAATATGTTTTCCATTCTATCAAATGAGACCAAGAAAATGAAAATACAACCATAAATACTATACGAAAATAGACCACAAAGTCGGCATTTTAATTAAAAAAATCGGTCGGAGTTTTTTTTTTCTCATTATGCACTGCGTGCTCCAGGATTTTTTTTATATGGTGCACACTGATCACACAGACCCATTCTCTCACATGTGGGCCTACCAGCTTTCTCCTGCTTGATTTGAAGCCGCTAGAATTTATGAGTATATATACGTCAAACACGGTACCTCGTAAGACGTATATATACGGCCGCGACAGTCAAAGGGTTAACACAACACTGAGACATTAAAGAACTTAGTCAACTTACCACCTAAATGATAACACTGACCCATAGCTGGCAACAACTTGTACGTTGTTACTAATACTGAACCAAGTGATATCTCTAAAATATAGTGGAAGTTGCAATTTCATTTTTGACTGAAAAAAAAGTATACCACACTCCTACATCTCACTGGCCAAAAGATGAAATTTTAATAGCCTTAATCCTAAAAAATGACGTTGATAGGTACTGTACACCGCAGTCCTAGACTCCATCTTATACCACCAACCTACCACATACCAAGAACTATTTGTCTTAAGCAGGGGCAAATCTACTATGAAACTAATGAAGCTAAAGCTTCTGGGCCTCTAATCCCAGACTGGGCCCGAGAAGCGACTTTAGTCCACACTGCTTAAAAATTTTGGGTCTACTGTATGAGAATTGGTTGCGAAGGGGCCCCCCATCACAGTTCAAGCTTCAGGGCCCCAAAAATGTAGATCCTCCTCTGTTCTTAAGTGCATAATATACAGAATTTAATTTCAATCCTTACGAAGGGATTAAAATATTCTTCATGTAATAATACAGGTACTGATGAAAATGCTCCTCTAATGACCAATATACAGTCGACAAGCCATAAACTTAGTGTACTAA